CAGGTCGGCGGATTGGGACGGAATGCGGTCTTTCTTTGCTTCCTACCCATGGGGGCGGGTTTGCTTCTCGCCGGACGATCCCAGCGCTGTTGCTGACTCTGTCACTGATGTGGTGCTACAGGGAATGGAACTATTTATTCCATCATCTGTGGTACCCATCGGAGGCAGATCTCAGCCTTGGTTTGGTCGCTCCTGTAAGACTGCATTACGCAGTAAGCAGGAGTGTTATCAAGCCTGGGCTGCGGCTTCGGTGACTCGGGATGTAAACACCAGCACGCTCAAAAAGAAGTATAACTTCGCCTCCAGGTCCTTCAAAAGAGTTATTGCCAAGGCAAAGTCAGAGCACATAGGCAGAATTGGCGAGAAACTAGTACGCCTTCCTTCGGGAACCCGTGCATTTTGGTCTCTCGCCAAGGCTGTCCAAGGGAATTTCTGTAAGCCATCACTACCATCTCTGCACAGGGAGGACGACTCACTGGCCCACGACGCAAAAGAGAAGGCCGACCTTTTAGGCTCCCTTTTTGCGTCCAACTCGACTGTTGATGACGGGGGGAACACACCGCCGACCATCCCGCGGTGTGAGTGCTCCATGCCGGATGTGCAGTTCTCACAGCGCTCGGTTCGCAGAGCACTCCTCTCCCTTGACATCCACAAGTCGAGTGGGCCTGACGGAATCCCTCCAATTGTGCTGAAGACGTGTGCTCCGGAGTTGGCACCGGTTCTAACGCGTCTTTTCCGGTACTCCTACTCCCTAGGCGTAGTCCCGAAATCATGGAAGACAGCTTTTGTCCACCCGATCCCTAAAAAAGGCGACCGCTCAGACCCGTCCAACTACAGGCCTATCGCCATTACCCCCTTGTTCTCCAAAATAATGGAATCCGTTGTAAACTGCCACCTCATGCGGTACCTTGAGGATCACCAGCTGATTAGTGACCGCCAGTACGGTTTTCGTCGGGGTCGATCAGCTGGTGATCTTCTGGTCTACTTAACTCATAGATGGGCGTTGGCAGTAGAGTCCAAGGGGGAGGCATTGGCCGTTAGTTTGGACATTGCGAAGGCCTTCGATCGGGTTTGGCACAAAGCGCTTCTTTCGAAGCTCCCTTCCTATGGGCTTCCCGAGAAATTATGCATTTGGATCACCAGCTTTCTTGCAGATCGGAGGATCAAGGTCGTTGTAGACGGTGCATGCTCCGACTACAAGCCTATTAACGCTGGTGTTCCACAAGGCTGCATGCTATCACCAACGCTGTTTCTTCTGCATATCAATGATATGTTGCAAGCCGGTAGCATTCATTGCTATGCGGATGACAGCACTGGTGATGCTCTCTACACCGGCCGTGCCAATATTTCTCGGGAAAACGTCACCGAGTACCGGAACAAACTTGTGTCTGAAGTCGAGTCTTTGCTGGACAAAGTCTCGGATTGGGGGCGACTAAATCTAGTCCAGTTTAATCCTCAGAAGACACAAGTTTGCGCGTTTACCGCTAAAAAGAACCCCTTTGTCGTATCTCCTCAGTTTCAAGGTACTCCCCTTGTTGCCTCAGCCAGTATCGGAATCCTTGGCGTCGACATATCGAGTAGCGTGCAGTTTCGTGGTCACTTGGAAGAAAAGGCCAAATTGGCCTCTAAAAAGCTTGGCGTGCTCAGCAGAGCGGGACAGTATTTCATGCCGGCTCAACGCCTGCAACTTTACAAGGCGCAGGTTCGGCCTCACATGGAATACTGTTCCCATCTCTGGGCTGGGGCTCCCCAGTGCCAGCTTCTTCCACTTGACCGCATCCAGCGCAGAGCGGCTCGAATCGTCGACGACCGAGTCCTTTCCGATCGGCTCGACTCATTGGCACTGCGAAGAGATGTTGCATCTCTTAGCATTTTCTTTCGCATTTACCATGGGGAGTGCTCTGAGGAATTGTTCGGATTAATCCCAGCCGCCAAATTTCACGAACGCACATCGCGGCAGAACTCCCGATACCATCCACACCATCTGGATGATTGGCGGTCCACCACTGTGCGATTTAGAAGATGTTTTCTTCCGCGCACAACTTCCTTGTGGAATAGCTTACCACCAGCGATTTTTCCGGACCGATACGACTTAGGGACCTTCAAGAAAAGAGCCTACTCCTTTTTAAAAGGCCGGCAACGCATCTGCAATTCCCCTGGTGTTGCGGTTGTTCATGGGCGGCGGTAGTCATTTACCATCAGGTGAGCCGCATGCTCGTTTGCCCCCTCTCCTATAAAAAAAAAAAAAAAAAAACTAGGAGAGTCGAGATCCTTCCAGAAATTTCGGGACCGATATGTGCTCGAACATTCTAGATGTCGCTACAGTAGAAGGTTCTGGAAACTATCTGAGGCCCTATATAAGGCCGGTATAGACCACGACCGGGGCAGTATTGAATTGGCGATACAAGAGAATACATCGAAGCGAAATAACGGCGAACTGTGTTTTATTATTAGTGTGTTTTAAGGTGTAATTAGTATCCGTAATTAAAGTGTCAATTTTGGTAATTCAATCGGCAGTTTTTAATTGTCTCGAACCTCAAGCTCGTAACAATTGGTGTCAGAAGTGAGTAGTGTAGTTGTACCACTTCTAGACCACCTGAGTCAGACGTGGTTCAACGACGTTCGTCGACACACGATCCTGAAAAAAAAAAAAAAAGGATTTGGCATGCTCTGATCACGAATCCGCGGTCCATTTTTGTGTAGAATGCACGGTTCCGGAGATGTGTAGATCAATTAGTTAATATCTAATTGATATCCGGTAAGGGCCTCCTCCGTCATTAGCGTCCCATTGTTCCTATTTCTATTGTTCTATTGTTCATTAATCACCTTCATTGCAGCGTGTGCGTCGACTATATCAGTGCTATTGTATTGTACTTCTTTGTTCCTAATTATACAACGCTAATCTGAATCATCAATAAAACACATTACATAATTTTGTTACAATTTTTATTTATAAAATACAAAATCTTATTACTTATTATCTATAAAATAGGAGCGAAACATCTCATCCACTAAAATATCGTTGTACAATGTGTTCATTGTAAATATACTCGTAAAACTATGTATTGAACATCCTTGAAACTTATATAGCAAATACATTAAGCAATATTCGCCACAAACTGAAGTCCACTCATTCTGAATCCTATCAACATTCCAGTTCCATCTTTTACAATTCCTTTTTAAAAACTCTAGATGATATCGTACAGGTGATCGTCCATATGAATCAAAATATTGACCGACGTCATTCGTATCGATATATAAAGCTACCCAATGTGACCCTGGTTTATCATCTGTATCCAAATTGCATATTATATACGTTGGTACGTGGGTATACATAGGCAGTCTATTAGCTGCATAAACATTATTTTCTAGACTGGGGTGAATCTTTTTCAGATGTTGTTGTACATCTAGTGTATCCATGATATTACTGCTATTAGTAGATTATTACAGTACCAATCTACTCAATGAATAACATAGGAATGGTCAATTATAGTGATTTCTAAATATTAAATTGCATTTTTGTGTTATACAAATCGTACTTGAGTCATTGATCACCAAACAAAACACAATACGAAGAAATGTTGAGATAGGCAACGGAAATGTGAGATAAACTGATATGTTTCTAAATATTAAATTGCATTTTTGTGTTATACAAATCGTACTTGAGTCATTGATCACCAAACAAAACACAATACGAAGAAATGTTGAGATAGACAACGGAAATGTGAGATAAACTGGTTGACGCATAAAGTAATTATCAACTCATTACGGAAATACTTTAGATTAGAATTTTTACGTACTGGTGGTATATAAGACCAACAGACGCAGTCATCGAGTTAGTGTACGGTCGTTTGACTACAGTGGATCTATCAATAGTACATTTGTGTTACTTCAATACACCAAAGGCTATGGATGTAAGTGTTTATTCTATTGACTAAATTACTTTTTTTCTGTTATTTTCATGTGTGCGTGTAAGCGTGTGCGTCGACTATATCAGTGCTATTGTATTGTACTTCTTTGTTCCTAATTATACAACGCTAATCTTAATCATCAATAAAACACATTACATAATTTTGTTACAATTTTTATTTATAAAATACAAAATCTTATTACTTATTATCTATAAAATAGGAGCGAAACATCTCATCCACTAAAATATCTCATATCGCACGCACACGCTTACGCAAGTTTACAGCTAGGTTATGAACCAAATAAAAATCTCCTAGAGAGAAATTTTGGAAAGTGTCCTGCTAATTTACACTTAGGGTTACCATCTCAACTATTTCTATATTGCGACATTATCGATCCTCAGATTGTGGGTGATGTTATGACTCCTTTATTAAGAGTCATTTCATTAGATCCTACAAAATACATTTATGGTGCAAATAAAATGCACGTTTTCTCTCAACCTCACTACTTACCTGTTATGCGAAGAGAGTTCGATACGTTGGAAATAGTTATAAGATCGAGTACAGGACAAAAAATACCATTCCAGTTTGGAACCGTGTGTATTAAACTACATTTCCGAAAATTATAATAATGAATTCTCTTCGTGATCATCATAAATGTCCATATGAAAATTATTATACACATCAAGCTGGATCAGGAGTTGGAGTAATTTATAAGGGTTCACCATATCAACGCGGTCATGGTATTGGGAGCTTCTTAGGGGGGTTATTCAGATCAGTTTTACCTTTACTCTCAAGTGGTGCTCGAGTGATTGGTAAGGAGGCATTAAGCGCTGGAGTAGGACTTTTATCGGATATGGTTCAAGCCCGTCCTATGGAAGCCTCAATAAAAGATCGTCTAAAGCAAGTTAGTACGAATTTAAAACGAAAGGCTGATGAGAAAATTGATCAATTTAACATGACTGGATCTGGGTATAAAACTAAAAGAAAACGATTGACATCGTTCATTCCACCATTAACTGCTAAAGTGAAAGCTGCGAAAAAACTTTGTCTAAAACCAAAAAATATCAAAGATATATTTTCAAACTAAATATGTCTTTCCTTCATAATCATTCTTGTGAGTGCGTTAAGTCAGAATTGGATTTGTTTGCACTACCGTCTACACAAACTAGCATTGAAAATGGATTGTGGATTCATTATAAACCAATTTCATCTCTTGGTGATGATGGACCTATCGAGTTTCAAGTTCCTGGGACCGGCGATGACTACATAGATTTGTCTCATACATTACTCCACATAAAGGCAAAAGTATTAAATCAAGATTCAACTAACTTGGTATCTACTACAATAGTAGCACCTGTAAATAATTGGCTGCATTCACTTTTTAGTCAACTTGATGTTTATTTAAACCAAAAACTTGTATCACCACCTAATAATACCTATGCATATCGAGCATACATGGAAACCCTTTTAAACTATGCCCCTGCTGCTAAACAATCTCATCTTACTTGTAGTCTTTGGTATGAGGATACAGCAGGAAAAATGGATTCTACAGATGGTAAAAACATAGGATTTGTTAAAAGACAGGAATTGATTAGTGAAAGTAAGGAAATAGAAATGATTGGTCATCTTCACGGTGACATTTTTAACCAAGATAAATTTTTAATTAATGGTGTTGAAATGAGTGTTAAATTGGTTCGATCAAGAGAGAGTTTTAATTTAATTGTTGGGTCAAACGATGTAAAGTTTAAAGTTTGCATTACGGACGCAACTCTTATTGTTCGACGAGCACGAATTAATCCAAGTGTATTACTCGCACATCAAAAAGTTTTAGCTTCTACCACTGCTAAATATCCTATTACTCGAGCTGAAGTAAAAGTTTTAACAATTCCTTCGGGTGTTCAAGGAAAAACTCTTGATAATATATTTTTAGGACAGGTACCGAAAAGATGTATAATTGGATTTGTGAACAATTCTGCATTTAATGGTTCCCTTACTAAAAATCCATTTAACTTTGAAAACTATGGTATTAATTCTTTCAGCTTATATATTGATGGTCAACAAATACCTTCAAAAGCTTTGCAACCATCTTTTAATAATAACATATTTACATCAGCATATCATACTCTATTCTCGGGAACTGGTATTCACTTTCTTAATGAAGGAAATGGAATCTCTTGTGAACAGTATGGCAAAGGTTACTGTCTATTAGCATTTGACTTAACTCCTGATTTATCAGCTAACTCATCAACTCATTGGAATCTCATAAAGCATGGTAGTGTAAGAATAGAAGTACGATTTGAATCCTCATTAATACAAACAATTAACTGTATAGTTTATGCTGAGTTTGATAATATTATTGAGATAGATAAAAACAGAAATGTTACTGTAGACTATAGTAGTTAAGGTTATAATATGTGTTGTGTGTTAGATTTTATGTGTTATGTGTAATGCATTTTGTGTGTATGTAACTATGTGAAACGTTATAAAATTAAATAAAACAAATTGTATGCAATATATTTTTTTTTTATTTCTTTATAAATCTTCTATTTAATCTAATACAAAACACTGTTCGAGTTGAAATTTTACATAAGCACACTGACTAAACCACTGAACATGCTGCTGCCAAGGATCATCATCATCTTCCCAATCTTTTAAACCACCACCACAATGGAAACACTTGGTCCCGTCTGCATGGCCAGTATAAAAGAAACCAGCTTCTGCAAGATCTTCAGGTTTCTGTCGCATAACGAGAGGCCAGTTTTCGAAACTAAGCAAACGGCTAGATTTTGAACTGAAGAATGGATATTCAGCTCTTGAGTACTGCATACTCTTCTCGTTTTCTTCTCCACTCAGTGTTGTAGTTTTGTTATTCAATGATGTGTTTTGTACACGTATGCCACACTCATCTCTTCCTTCCGCTCTTGTCTTCCTGTAATTGAAGTAAACAGAATCACATTCACTAATGATCAGCTAATGACTGTCATTGTTAAAAAAGTATTTTTTAACTTTTTCACTTTCTGCTATTGTCTTTGTTATATTGTATACGAGGGCGTTTGTGTTGTCGTAGATGCTATCCTTATTAGTCTTTACGTAATATTTAATTCTCGTGGAAGCATGTTTCCAATGATCAGTAGTTGGAATCTTGGATAGCTTCTTCATATCGTACATTTCAATTTTGATGAGATGCGTCGCTTGGTCTCCGTCGTCAGAATTAGTAGAAATGTATGATACACCATCTCTAGCGGCTCGTGCTACGGTTGATGATAACAGCTTCCTCTTTTTTATTTTTGATTCAGCTTCAAAAAAATTATCAATCGATTGCGATTTTCTTTTTCCACCATCGCATGTGTTATTATTAATGACGAGGTTATCACTCTCTTCTTGAGGGGAGAGTGGCGAGTAGTAATACTGTTTATAGGTATCTTCATCGAAGCTCAATGATTTCTGCAACAACACAGTTATCATGTTAATATCAATTTGTTAACACTTAATCATAAAAGTTAAAAAAGTTAAAGTTACAGCCTATTAAAGTCCACTGCTGAACATAGGCCTCCTCTCATTTCTGAGAGGGTTTTAGAGCAAGGAAATGTCCGCCGCGCTCCCTCAATGTGTGTTGGCGAACTTCACATGCCTTCGAAATTTTCTCAGACATGCAGGTTTCCTCACGATGTTTTCCTTCACCACCAAGCACGTGGTAATAAGCACTTAAAATTGCGATTAACAATTTAATTGGTGCTGGCGGGGATCGAACCCGGGTCGCGTACTGTGAAATTTACAGCTAGCGCTAACCATCTGAGTTACCACGGCTTAATCATATACATACACAATATTTAAATAAAATAATACACACACATGAAAATAACAGAAAAAAAAGTAATTTAGTCAATAGAATAAACACTTACATCCATAGCCTTTGGTGTATTGAAGTAACACAAATGTACTATTGATAGATCCACTGTAGTCAAACGACCGTACACTAACTCGATGACTGCGTCTGTTGGTCTTATATACCACCAGTACGTAAAAATTCTAATCTAAAGTATTTCCGTAATGAGTTGATAATTACTTTATGCGTCAACCAGTTTATCTCACATTTCCGTTGTCTATCTCAACATTTCTTCGTATTGTGTTTTGTTTGGTGATCAATGACTCAAGTACGATTTGTATAACACAAAAATGCAATTTAATATTTAGAAACATATCAGTTTATCTCACATTTCCGTTGCCTATCTCAACATTTCTTCGTATTGTGTTTTGTTTGGTGATCAATGACTCAAGTACGATTTGTATAACACAAAAATGCAATTTAATATTTAGAAATCACTATAATTGACCATTCCTATGTTATTCATTGAGTAGATTGGTACTGTAATAATCTACTAATAGCAGTAATATCATGGATACACTAGATGTACAACAACATCTGAAAAAGATTCACCCCAGTCTAGAAAATAATGTTTATGCAGCTAATAGACTGCCTATGTATACCCACGTACCAACGTATATAATATGCAATTTGGATACAGATGATAAACCAGGGTCACATTGGGTAGCTTTATATATCGATACGAATGACGTCGGTCAATATTTTGATTCATATGGACGATCACCTGTACGATATCATCTAGAGTTTTTAAAAAAGAATTGTAAAAGATGGAACTGGAATGTTGATAGGATTCAGAATGAGTGGACTTCAGTTTGTGGCGAATATTGCTTAATGTATTTGCTATATAAGTTTCAAGGATGTTCAATACATAGTTTTACGAGTATATTTACAATGAACACATTGTACAACGATATTTTAGTGGATGAGATGTTTCGCTCCTATTTTATAGATAATAAGTAATAAGATTTTGTATTTTATAAATAAAAATTGTAACAAAATTATGTAATGTGTTTTATTGATGATTCAGATTAGCGTTGTATAATTAGGAACAAAGAAGTACAATACAATAGCACTGATATAGTCGACGCACACGCTGCAATGAAGGTGATTAATGAACAATAGAACAATAGAAATAGGAACAATGGGACGCTAATGACGGTGGAGGCCCTTACCGGATATCAATTAGATATTAGCTAATTGATCTACACATCTTTTTTTTTTTTTTTTTTTTTTTGGATCGTGTGTCGACGAACGTCGTTGAACCACGTCTGACTCAGGTGGTCTAGAAGTGGTACAACTACACTACTGAAGTGGGATCAAATATGCCGATTTTACCTAAAGACGACACCGAGGGTATCCGTACCCGAAGTCAACGCCAACAGGAGACGGACCAGAGACGATTTGGTGGTGTAACGGCACAGACGTCGGCAGGCCAGTTGCCGACCACGGAGGCCGGCCCGTCAGCAGCTCCTGCATCTGCAGCACCTGACTTAGGTACTCTGATGATGATGCTGCAGGAACAGGCTCGCCGACAGGAGGAACAGGCCCGCCGACAGGAGGAACAAGCCCGCCGACAGGAGGAACAGGCTTGTCGGTTGGAAGAGCAGCTGCAGCGCGGACAGGAGGAACAGGCCCGTCAACAGGAGGAACAGGGCCTTCGGTTGGAAGAGCAGCTCAAACGCGATAAGGAAGAGCAGATACTTCTCATGAAGGACCTTCACGCTACCTTCGGGAAAGAAATAAGTGAGGTGAAGGATAAGGTTGCTCAATATGACAACCGCCTGTCGGAAGCTGAAACCCGAATCGACCAAGTGTACAATCGGGTTGACAATGTGATGGCTGATGTGAAGAAAACGCTGAACGACCTCAAAATTGGGGATGGAGTTACAGCTCCCGTGGTAGCTACAACACCTTCGCTACGTGGATTCAAAGTGCCACCGTTCGACGGGACTTCTTCCTGGTCGGCCTACAAAATCCAGTTCGAGGCTGTCATGAAAGCGAACGGCTGGAATAAAAGTCAGGCCATGACTGCTCTCACCCTAGGCCTGCGCGACCAGGCTTTAACTGTTCTGGAAGCTCTCGGTAAGGAAGTGACTTTTGAGCAGCTCCTTGAGGCTTTGGAGGCGAGATATGGCGACGCTGACCTGGAACACGTCTTTCGTGCACAGCTCAAAGATCGCGTGCAACGCAGTAAGGAAAACCTGCAGCAGTGGGCCCTTGAGGTGGAGAAGCTTGTTCGAAAAGCGTACCAGTCTGTACCTGCGCTTATTGTAGGGAACCTGGTGCAGACATTCATTGACGACATCCGCAACCTTGAAGTCAGAGCTGCTGTGAGGCTCGGGCACCACGATACGCTTAAGGACGCCTTGACCCATGCACTGGAGGTGGAAGCCGTGCGGCAGGATCATCGTTCCCACCGCGTCAGGGAGGTTGCAGCAGCTACAGTTCAGGACCGCAACAGCCCTAAAAGCTACAGCCCTAGGTGCTACGGAGAAAGGGGCCATCTTCGATCCAGCTGCCCTAAACGAACTGTAGAAAGGGAAGGTGATCGATCTCAAGAGGGTAGTGCGGATAATAGCACCGCCCAGCAGCAGCAGGGAAACAAGTAAAAGCCAGGACTGCGGGGCGGGTGCTGGCTGATGTTGAAAGAGCCCCAAGGATTTCGATCTCACAAACCCGTGATGGGAACAGCCTAATCATCAAGGGCGAAGTCAAAGGAACGCCGTGTAAACTGACCATAGACACTGGAGCCTCTCGCACGGTTGTCAGTTCCCAACTTATAAGTCGGTACTTTGGGGACTCCGCATACAACCGAGAACGCATTAATTTGGTGACAGCTACCGGTCAGCGCATACCCGTCCGTGGAGAGAAGGAGATGGAGTTGAAGCTAGGCAACATGATCTACCTGCATAATGTCATCGTGGCTGATATAATGGACGACTGCATCCTGGGCCTAGACTTTATGAGGAAGAATTGTTGTGAGATCGACGTTAAGCAAGGTGTTTTGAAATGTGGACAAGAGGAACTTTTCATGGAAGGGGCGTTACCAGGGAATGTGTACAGCCTTAAGAAGATTGTTCTTCCGCCGAGATCGGAAACGATTGTGCCTGTTAGTCTTCCTCGGAGTCCTGGGCAAGCTCATCGTTGTGTACTCGTGGAAAGGGTAGACAATGACCTTCCATGGAAAGTGGCTCGAACCTTGGTCAGAACCACCGACATCTCAGGAGTACGTGTGTTGAAACTTTGTGATCAGGAACAGATTATAGAAAAAGGCACATTGGTTGGTACTAGTGAGGAAGTGGATTGGTTGCGTCGGTGCGAATATCTATCGACCGGGACCCCTAGCAAGGATGGACAAACGAGAGTGACCACACTTTTAGAAGACTGTCGCAGCGTTCTCTCCCCGAATGAAATGGTCAAGGCGAAGAAGTTGTTACTCAAGTACGCCAATGTTTTCTCGTCAAACGAAGCTGACATAGGAAAGACTGGCTTAGTTCAACACAAAATAAACATAGGACAAGAATTGCCTATTCGTCAGCGGCCAAGAAGATTGCCTGTAGCACGTGAAAAGGAAGTGGAAACCATGATTGAGGGAATGGTGAAGGATGGTGTTATTGAACCTTCATCTAGTCCATGGTGTTCACATGTGGTACTGGTAAAGAAGAAGGACGGCAGCATGCGGTTTTGTGTTGACTACCGCCGCCTGAACGACGTTACGAAGAAGGACAGCTATCCCTTGCCTAGAATTGATGACACGCTGGATATGCTCACAGGCGTAAAGTGGTTTAGTACGCTGGACCTGAAAAGTGGCTACTGGCAGGTTGAAATTGACCCTAAGGACAAGGAGAAAACTGCATTCTCCACAGGAAAGGGTCTGTGGCAATTTAAAGTCATGCCGTTTGGATTGTGCAATGCTCCAGCAACGTTTGAAAGATTGATGGAGCTTGTACTTACCGGGCTAATTGGAGATGCCTGTCTGGTCTATTTGGATGACATAATCATCGTAGGCCGTAAGTTTGAGGAACACCTTCAAAACCTGGAACGCGTGCTCATGAAGATCCAGAGTGCCAACCTCAAGTTGAGTCCAAAGAAGTGCTCACTATTCAAACGGCAAGTTATTTTTTTGGGGTATGTAGTGTCGGAAGAAGGTATCCGCACGGATCCAGAAAAAATTGCCGCTGTCAAGGAGTGGCCGGTTCCAAAAGACAAGACACAGGTTAGAGCATTTTTGGGTTTGTGCTCTTATTATCGGCGATTTGTGAAGAACTTTGCAGATATAGCCAAACCTCTGCACAAGCTAACCGACGAGAAGCGACATTTCTGCTGGGATGAAAGTTGCGATATTGCGTTCCAGGAGCTCAAGAACCGTCTGTGCAAAACACCTATTTTGGGGTACCCTGATGCGGGCAAGGAATTCATAGTTGACACAGACGCAAGTGATATAGGGCTTGGCGGTGTGTTGTCTCAACGGAATGGTGACCAAGAGATTGTGATAGCGTACTTCAGCAAGTCATTGTCAAAGCCGGAAAGGAACTACTGTGTCACAAGACGCGAATTGCTTGCTGTGGTAAAGTCCTTGCAGCATTTTAGCAAATATCTTCTAGGGCGGAAATTACACTTACGAACTGACCATGCTGCACTAAAATGGCTATTGCAGTTCAAAAATCCGGAAGGACAAGTTGCGAGATGGATTGAACTACTGCAGGAATACGACTTTGTGATCGAACATCGCAGCGGAAAATCTCATGGTAATGCAGATGCATTGTCAAGAAGACCTTGCCCTGAAAATTGCAAGCATTGTACTAGGCAAGAGGGTAAGGAAGTGGTATCTGTGAGGATGCTCAGGACAGACCAGCTCAGCAATGAGTGGAAGGACAGCCTACAACATGCACAGCAGGAAGATTCGGATATTAAGCCGATTCTGGAATGGATGAAGGCCAGTGCTCCTAAGCCCAAGTGGAGCGACGTCTCAGCAATGAGTTCGACCACGAAAAGCTATTGGGCCCAATGGGACAGCTTGCTGATTCAGGATGGAGTCCTGTGCCGTAAATGGGAAAATGGTCGGGGAGACAGTTGTCATTTGCAAATGGTTGTCCCTAAGGCTAAAGTACCGGATGTTCTACAGCTGTACCATAGTGGTTGTTCAGGAGGCCACCTGGGAGTTAAACGAACTCTACTGAAAATCCGAGAACGGTTTTACTGGGTCCACTGTCGTGACGATGTCGAGGACTGGTGCCGCAAATGTACAAGTTGTGCGGCTGTAAAGGGACCTCAAATTCGTAGTAGAGGCGCATTGAAATTGTACAATGTTGGTGCACCATGGGAGAGGATAGCCATTGACGTTGCGGGGCCGTTTCCGGAAAGTGAAAGTGGTAACAAGTATTTCATGGTTGTGATGGATTACTTCACTAAGTGGCCAGAAGTCTTCGCCATTCCAAATCAAGAAGCTTCAACAATTGCAGATAAACTAGTTCATGAAGTCTTCTGTCGTTTTGGAGTACCTTTAGAGATTCACAGCGATCAAGGAAGGAATTTCGAGTCTCAAATATTCCAGGAAACTTGCAGAGTTATGGGTACTCATAAAACATGACAACTTCTTACCACCCACAATCTGATGGAATGGTAGAACGATTTAATCAGACATTGGAAAGGTACCTGGCAAAAGTTGTGGAAAAACGGCAACGAGACTGGGACAGGCACATATAACCGTTTTTGTTGTCATATCGAAGCGCTGTTCACGAAAGTACGTCAGTGACGCCAGCTTTCGCAAACTTTGGGAGAGAATTACGGCTGCCTGCAGACCTGATCACCGGAATACCACCTGATGCCCCACGCAGTATAACCGATTATGCAAATGACTTGCGGAACAAAATGAATGACATTTATGAGCACGTCAGACAGACGGGCCAGCAAACGTCTGAGAAGATGAAAACACGGTATGACCGCAAAATGAACAACAAGGGGTTTGATGAAGGTTCACTAGTGTGGTTACACAATCCAGTTCGCAGCAAAGGGAAATCTCCTAAGCTTCAAGCTAAATGGGACGGACCGTACCGGATTGTGACAAGGATCAATGATGTAACCTACCGGATACAGAAAGGTGCCAGAGGTACTCCTAAGATTGTCCATGTGGATCGACTGGCGCGTTATTATGGGGCCAATAATGCTCGGGACGAGCATGTCTTAGGAGGGGGCAGTGTTGCGCGCCACTATTAATGTCTTGTACATAGCAACACTAGTTACACAAGTGCCCTCTAGTGTCGAGTAAATGAAAGTATTGCGCGCCACTATTAATGTCTTGTACATGGCAACACTGTTACACTAGCGCCCTCTAGTGTCGAGTAGCAGAACTAGGAGAGTCGAGATCCTTCCAGAAATTTCGGGACCGATATGTACTCGAACATTCTAGATGTCGCTACAGTAGAAGGTTCTGGAAACTATCTGAGGCCCTATATAAGGCCGGTATAGACCACGACCGGGGCAGTATTGAGTTGGCGATACAAGAGAATACTTCGAAGCGAAATAACGGCGAACTGTGTTTTATTATTAGTGTGTTTTAAGGTGTAATTATTATCCGTAATTAAAGTGTCAATTTTGGTAATTCAATCGGCAGTTTTTAATTGTCTCGAACCTCAAGCTCGTAACAATAATAAAAGCGTACGATTTATTTGCATTTATAACATTTTAAAAGTGATATAAAATTCATAACAATACAAAGAAACTACACCAGAAAAAGGAGTATAATAAGGCCTATGGTGAAATTTAGTAGGCATTAATAACCGCCGACCAAGTATTTAGGAAAACCAAATTAAAAAAATGACCACGATACGTTACTCAAACCTTCAAGATCAACAAAGCATTTATTCATAACGATAAAGATTGCGATTTTAGATAGCTGAGTGTAATATTACAAAACATACCAACGATTTATTTGGGCTGATTTTTATAATTGGTGCAGTGCGGTCGTATCTTATGATAGATAATGCAACTCTGGTGGCAGGACGCGGGGTAGCGCGTCTCTGCAAACGTGTAGAGAGATTATCGTGCAATGGGAGCTGTTATTATCTCCTTAAGCGATTGCGGTTCTTATAAATACGATTTTTGTTACTTAGGGCTTATTAGCCGACAGACCTTATTACCCGCAGGCACCTTACACAGATGTTTCGGTGACATTCGGTGTCGGCAGTTGCACTTTCGTTGTCGACATTGAATTTTAATAGTATAAAAATAAATAAAAAACAGCGAAGCAAGAAAGTAAAACGTTGTTGGTCAAGTATTTATTTATGTAGATTAAGATATTAAGATATGATAAGATATTAAAGATATTAAACCCATCAAAAATATAAATGTGAAAAGGCGGCCATGTTGGGTGTAAACGACATTCGGAGATATCAGCTTAGCCGATATAACTACTGAGATCAGAAAAGGTGCTAAGCTCATCGGTTGTGAGCGATGATTGTACTTATTAAGCACGAACTATTCAACCGAATTTTTTCTCACAGGAATAGAATAGAATAGAATAATTTTTATCCAATATAGATTACAGGAATACTTGTTGAAAGTTTTTAGCTTTACAATTGGATGGGAAAAAAACCTCTGTCCTGGGAAGAACCAGCAAGAAATCCGGGACTTCTTTTAAATAGTACAATACATATAATATTTTATACAATTTATGATTAATTATTATGAAAACATTTATGAACAGCATGGTAGCGATCACCTCATACCCAGGGGTTATTATCGATCATGTAGTATTTAGTAATATAATAACCTTCATTAAACAATCTTCAAGACACAAGGAACTTAATCGTATATTACTTACATGGGTTTGTATAGATATTCTCCGTATAAATATAACATTTAGCCGAGATTTTGACAAGACGTCGTATGCTTACGAAAGTTAGAAGCCGCGGGAGATGAGGCAGCTGAAATTGATTCCCTTCGACGCAGCGAATACTAAACGACGTCGACTTAATCCCTACGAGATTGCGGTTGGCAATGACGAACGTTAAGGGTTTTGTTTTCCTAGAATATATAATTCTTATAAAAATTTGTTGTTCTGAGTGATATTGTTCAGACGTAGGCTGTATATTATATTATACGTGTACGTGGTAGAGCAGCGCTGCAGCTATATTATGGTTGTAGCACTAATGGGTCGGCTTGTCCGGGGAAGGACCACGCTTACACAGAATACTACAATACAGCGTGGAACAGCAGCTTAATGCTGCTGTTTAAGTGTAGAGAACTGGAGACCCTTTTAACTGTAAAAGTGGCATTCCATCTTAGTCCCAACGGCTGACAACGCATCTGCATTTTAATTCACAGACGAAGATAGATGTAGATGTCTATGCGTAACACCATCCACTTACCATCAGGTGAGCTGTGTGCTTTTTTGTCACGAATACGACGATGATTAATTTATATTTGAAGTTTTTGTGACATTCCTTGTTTTGCCCCTGTACCCTTCAATTTACTTATGTGGGATGTACCCAAAATAAAAATGTTTTTTAAGATTATATTTCACAGTTTTCTAGGCGTGATTAATATCTATAACTGTGCCAAATTTACAAAAAAAATTGTAGCACCTAGGGTCTCTGAGTAAAACCGCGGACGGACGGACGGACGTATGGACATGACGAAACTATAAGGGTCTCTTGTTGTTTTTTTTATAGGATAGGGTGACAAGCGAGCACACAGTCCACCAGATGGTAAGTGGTTGCTGTGGCCCATAGACATCTACATCTATCCTCGTTTGCGAATCAAAATGCAGATGCGTTGTCAGCTGTGAGGACTAAGATGGAGTGCCTCTTTTCCAGTAAAAAGGGTCACAGGTTCTCTACACTCACCATACGAAACACAGCACTGTTAAGCTGCTATTTCACGCTGGTATTCTGTGAAAGCGTGGTCTTTCCCCGGTCGAGCCGACCCATTCGTGCTACAACTATACCACTAATATAGCTGCATCATGACTCTACCACGTTGTGTATAAGGCGGTGACTTCGATATCACAGACAGACACTTTTTTTTAAAAAACAACCTTACCCCCATACTAAGATTTTCTCCTGTATCGTAGAGGTCGTTAACAAACATAAATTGCACAAGTACAAACATCCAGACCGACCCGGAACAATTATTTGTAGGCGATACAAATACATGTTCCGTGTGGGATTCGAAGCCGCGGCCCCCAGCGCTACAACACATTGCTAAGTTACTGCGTCACGGAGCTGCTTTTATTCTATTTATATGGATGGATTACTAAAAATGTTCGAAGTTCGCAAGGAAAACGGCGGACTCTTTTCTGCTTCAAAACCTTTGTAAATGGCGCGTGTCCAATAGTTCTTTTTTGTATAAGACTGAAAGACGAACGGACTTCAGTCCACCAGAGGGCAGCTGGCCATGGCAGCTCATAGACAACTGCAACTAACTTCATTAAGGCCACAGATGCGTTGTCACCTCTGAGGAATAAAATCGAATGCCTGATGGCTTGTAATTACACTGGCTCGCTCTATACCCGGCACCGGACGCTAACACAGCAGTGCGAGCAGTGCCGTTGGGCAGCAGAAACAGATATAGCAGGGTGGTATAGTTATTCTATTTAACGACGAAGGTTTGACTTTGCTTGTTGTTAGTCCCCGTGCACATACACATTGTGTTAGTGTGCGTAGGCTGCGAGGCCGAGTCCTACACACACTAATAAACTAAACACTGCAAAAAAGTAAAAATTAAATATTTGATGAAAGTAAAAGCCGACATCAACGAACTAAAAGGAATAAAATAATGTCCACATAACGCTTTCAAAAGTCAGTTGTAAGACATGTGTGTGGAAGAATTAAGGCCCGACTTCAGAAGCTTTTAAGCATCTCCCACACACAAGCGGCTTGCGGTGGCGCCTAACCGCGAGCCGCTTGTGTGTGGTGGACGCTTTATGTGTACATTATTTTTCCAGTTAAACTTTAGTTAAACTCTTTGATCAATAGTGTGCTGTTGAGATTCTTGCCACTTCTAACAAAGTCTTACTCACATGTCTACGTAAAACTACTCATACAATTTTCAAAGATTTCAGAGGTGCGGCAGTACTTTAAGCCGGGGCAGCTTCTTGCCTTATATAAACCGCAAGTCCGGTCGTGCATAGAGTATTGCTGTCACATATGGGTTGGAGCTGCAAAATGCCACCTAGCAGCTTTGGAATTAGTGGAGTGACGTGGTAAGAGGTTTATTGGTAACCTTGATTTGGTTGACACCAATCTTATCAGCCTCGAGCACAGGTCCAGAGTAGCTAGATTCTCGGTATTGTATATATAGGGTGCATTTCGAAGAGTGTGCGCAGGAACTAAATTCTTTTATTCCTCCCTCTCCTTTCCACCGTCGGTGACGACCTTCGTCTTCATCGTTTTTTGTTGTCGATATTCCACGCATTAGAACCAAACGGTTTGCTTCGTATTTGTAATGCGTACAGCAAAGGATTGGAATAATTTGCCGGCGTCTGTCTTTCCGTTCGAATACAATCTGGGCGTCTTCAAGGCAAGAGTGAATACGCTTTTATTACGATAAGACAGTGCGATTAGCCATATGAAGCTTCATCACCACTTA